TTTCTGTTTAATATATATATTAATGATATGGAGGAAAAATAGAGGGCAAAAAATGAGGGAGGGATAGCTATTGGGGGGAAAAAAATCTTTAGCTTGAAATTCGCGGATGATGTGGCTGTAGTGGCCAGCAGCATGGAGGGTTTACAATGTATGCTGAATGATCTACAAAAATATAAGGAAAAAAATAGGATGGAGGTAAATACGAATAAAACAAAAATAATGATATTTAGAAAGGGGGGTACGAAAAAAGAAAGCGAAAAATTCACATTTAGAGATGAGGTAATTCAAGTAGTCAACGAGTATAAATATCTTGGGTTTTGGTTTTCGACAAGGAATACATTGAGTATGCACGTCAACAAAATCACCAATAAGGTTAAGAAAGCGATAAACGCGGTGTGGGGGGTATGGAAAAGAGCAAAATTAGGTAGTTTAAAGGGAAGATTTTATCTATTAGATACAATTGTAAAGGCCGGTTGTTTATACGGAGTTAAAATATGGGGGTGGAAAAGGTGGGAGCAGATTGATAAAGTGCAGGGAATGTTTGTAAAGATGGCATTGGGGCTAAATACAAATACTATGGCGTATATCTGGAGAAGGGAAGCAAGTAGGAAAAGTTTGGAAATTGAAACAAGGAGGAGGGCAGAGGATTATTTGATAAGCATAGCGGAGATGAAAGACCATAGATGGCCAAAAATTTGCTTGAAGGAGGAGATAAGGGGACTTGGAAACAGGAATGCTTCAAGTTGGGGAAGAATGGTAGCGGAAACTTTTAAGGAAGTAGGTTATGGAGTGGGGCTAATTGGGGTGTTTGATACACTGGAGAGGTGGGATTTGATAAAGAGAATGACAGATGAGCTAAAAGTAAAAGAAGACCAGGAAGTGCAGTTAGGTTGGGGAAGGATTAAGAGGTCAGAATACTGTGATTTTTATAAACATATCAAACAAAAATTAGGAACGGAAGATTATTGAGAAAAGAAGGTGTGGGGGGGGGGGATAACGTTAAAAAACAATGGACGAGGCTCAGATGCGGGAGTGTAGGTTAAGTCCTTTAGTGTCAGATAGCGAAGAAAAAAATTAATGTGGAGTGGCCTGGAGCAGTACAGGAAGTAGGATTAAAAGATAAATGGGGGGGGGGGTAATTATTTTGAATAATTATTTTGAATAAAGGAGAGGACGCGTTTAGGGGTTAGGAATAATTTTAACTAATAATGAGAATTTGGGGAAGCTAGAGGTTAATGTGCTTGTAAAGAAGGGAAATTGATGTACGAGTCGTACATAAGGAAGATAAAATAATACTAGGTTGAAGAGCGAAAATTGTAAGCGCACCGCATGTCGTGTGAGGGAAAGAGGTATGTAAAAATATGTAAATCTATACATGGAAAATAAATTAATACAATACAATACAATATAACGACCTTTTAATAAAATGAGTAAAAGTACTGATTGAATTTGAATAAAATTGTGTTCTTCAGGCTTTTTTAAGTCGTTCTATTATCATTATGGGTGTCACTATTTAATTATGTAGTTATTAACTTACTTGCAACTGTTGGCCATCAATTTTTTTTTATGGCCATATTTGGGAAGGATTTTTTTCAGTTTTTGCTGCAGTTCACACAAAGTTTAGAACCAATCAAACTAAAATTTTGTGTTATGTTAAGGACTATAATATCTACCTTGTAACCAAATTTCAGCTCTTTATATTGAATTGAACGCAAGTTATTTTGTTTAAAAAAATGGCTCATAGCCAATTTGAATCCAACGTGGCTCATTTTGTTTGTGTTAAAATTACGCATCTTTTTTATAAACACTTTTTTATGTGCCATTTTTCGATATTTTTGGAAGTGAAAAACGTGTTTTGACTTATTTTGATAATTTTTTAAGGCTTTTGCTGATATTTTTCCTCGTTGAATTCACTGTTAATTTGTCCCCATGCAATGAAACTATTACCCTATTTTTTTGAGCTAGTCAGAATTTCAATATCAATGTAATTTTTAGCTTTTTTTACTATACTACAACTGCAAATTATACATATGATGCCTACAAAAAAGCCTTTTAAACTCCTTAAACTGTGTCGTGTAAGGTTTATTGCTATCCACGTACAAATGATTATGGGACCACAATCCATGTTTATCACTAATCACGAAAGAAATCCAAAAATATTAAGAATCTTCCTCGAAACCGTTGAGACTTCTTAAAAGTCTTTAAGGCCTCGAAAATATTATTCGATACCTTCAAGATCCACTAAAGTATTATAGAGTCTTGAACAATTTATACGAGACTTCTGAGAGTCTTGAAGGTCTCAGACAAGACTTTGAGACGAGACTGAGTTGAGACGAGACATTGGCAGGTCTCGTCTAATTAGGTCTCGGTTCCGATATTTTTTTTGTTGAGATCATCTTGTTTCGTCTCGAAGTAGGTATCGCACATGCCTAGTATGTATGTACGTATGAATGTGTGTATACGTATGTATGTATGTATATAGGTATGTATGCATGTGGGTATGCATGTATGCACGTGGGTATGTACGTATGTGAATATGTATGTATGCATGTATTCTATTATACTTCTTACTTATATTATAAAGGCAATAGTTTGTGTGTTTGTTACATATTAACACAGTTACACGGCTGGACAACTTGCTTTGAAATTTGGTATGGTGGTAGCTAACATTCTAGATTACGCCATAGGCTTCTTCTTTTCTGAAATTAATTCGGAAACAGCGTCTAAAAATGTGCGCATATCGGATAAAATTAGTAGTGATGTACTGTGACTATCATCACGTAGCGGTAGGTGGTAGCATCGGTGGCGGCTGTGAGGTACTATACACTCTATTGTCTAGGTGAGACTACCACCTGTCACATTACAGACTATATTCACCCAGACCCAGATGGGTAGACACGTACTGGGACAAACACTGCAGACCGACATATGCGAAATAATATCGTTTAAATAAGATTATTATTTATATCATACGATACTGCTTATATACTTCTTAGACACAATGTGAAAATTTAAAATTACATTGTTAGACTAATATTAAACAAAACTTTCTTTAAAAAGCAGATAAACTGCGGGTACCAGCTAGTGTATGTATGAATGCGCCAATCTATGCGTTTACGTTTTCATTATTAATATTAATTTATTAATTCATTGTGGAACTCACAACTGTGTGAATCGTATTGAAAATTTGCAATTTACTTGTGTCACAATTAACTTGCAGAATCGTTGATATATCTGGTACTGTTGTGTCGTCTTACTTAGTGTACAACTACGACAAAGAGCTACAAGGTAGAAATATGGGCCATCATCATCCCTATTTATCGTTTCTGCTATAAATATCGATTAGTAAGCAGAGTGTTAATTTGTTCAACAAAATTTTAGTAAAACTTTTAAGGAACGTCAAAGAAAACTTCACGAAACCCTGAAAAAGACTATTGTAAAGTATATGGTAATGAAATCTTTTGCCTACGTAAATACATAGACTTTTCATAAATTATAAAAAGAATATGATATTTAATTTTCACTATGGACACTAAGCTTCACGGACAATACAAAAAATTTCATATGTTGAACACGTATCAAAATAAAAAAAAATAAAAAAAACGAAATAGGCCCTGGGGTATAATCTAGAAATCCCACGAACGATATCTCTTAATTATACATATGTTGAGACAGCACTTAAAACAAGCTTAGTCATAATACATGCATAGTCTCCAAATGTTTGAAAATCCGCCATATCTTTAAAAAAATGCAAGATAAATTAAAAATAACTATTTTTTTGGTTTTTGAAAATGGGAAAAAAGTTTTAGCGAGTAAATAGAGTAATACTAAATTACATTAAAAATGACCACATTTTTAGTGTTTTTGATGTACTTTTATGGAATTAAGGTAAAAATTTTTAGGAAGCATTAAAGTTTGTTTATAATACTATAAGAAATGTGCGGAGATTATGATTCACTGATTTTCTAACACACAGCCTCAAAAGTAATAAGTATACGTTAATGTATTAACAGGAAGGTAAATGTATCAAAAATGACAGTTTGTATAGGTTTTGTTAGTTGAAAAACAATCGCTAGACACGAATATATAGGTCGAAGTGAATATGATATAAACAATAGCTATGACTTCACATAAATAAGCTATAAATTTTTGTAAGAAAGACTTAAGATTATAAAAAAAATTTTTGTGAATTTTGAAAATTGTGATGATTTGCTAATACTTGAGTACATATAAAAAATAATTTGTCCATGCAGAAACAAAATAAAATAAAATATAAAAAACAAAAATTAAGTTAAAATCTATGCACGAGTGGAAAAGAGAGAAAAGTTGGTATTAATATTATGACATAAGTATTGCGAATGATTACAAAAAGTAGTAGTTATACATTTGCAGAAGACTATGTAAACATACTTCAGATCTTTTATTATAGTAATGCAATGATTCTTTCGTTAAAAAAATGAATTGTAAAAATAATTTTTGTACACGAGGTTGTAAGCTATCAAAAAAGTCACTAAAACTCTACTGCTTTTTTTATGAATATGAGGAATATATAACATAATTGTTTTATTTTCAAACTACATTATAAGTTTAAGGTGAAACAGAAATTGAATCTCTATAACGAAATATCATTCTAAGACTTAAAGTTTTATTTAAAAGTATTCCTAAATTAATATTTTTAAGAACATGAAAATACAAACGTCAAAGTAAGCATTCAGATAAAAAAAATTGTAAAACTACCATTTTCAATAATTGAAGAAGACTTTTGGTCAATTGATTGGCAAAAGTGTTTTTACTCAATAGTATTTCTTAGTTAACTGGAAAATTCATTTTGCTGTGTATTTAGAGGAACATGCATACTTTTTCTTAAATGTTTCATGAACGATAAAAATTACATTTTTCCAAGAATTATGGTAATACAGATTAAATTAAATATTTTTTCATCGGAAGTTACATTATTATATGAATAAATTATACGTGTGCATGTGATAAAGTAGTGTTACCTTTTCTCATATTTCCTGTATTAATGTGGAAACCGTACAAAAAATCGTAATAACTGTTAGCGGTTACTTCAGTACTCCTGCCTCTATCTTGCATAATTCTTTCTAAATCTTGATACATGTCCACATAAGGAAATGCTAAAAGATCCAGTAATTTTTTGTAGTTAAAGAGAGTTACAACTAGTTGTCTCAAACAGTCAACACGACGTTCAATATCCGGATTTGTATTCAAATAATTATATGCTTCAGTGTAATGCTGGAGACCGAGATGTTGAGTAAAAATTATGGAATAATATGTCGGTAGGTTTTGGTTATATTTCTCTGCTAGAGTTAAAGCATTCATTGCTAGTGTTGTTATACAATCAGATGCATTGAATTGTTCAAACATTTTTATAACTGTCAAAAAGTAGTGATCAACAGCATCATTTTTTGATATTTTTCTATCTGTTACTAATAATTCTAATATATATTTTTCACTTATGACTCCACTAAAGGCTCTTAAAAAAATATCACATGCTTTTTGAGTTTCACCCATCTCTAAAAAACTCATAGCCAGAATAAATTTTCTTGATGTTCCGTTCCATTCGCACCAAGTGCCAAGTATTCTTATGTATTCTTGTACCAACGGAAATTGACAGCTAAATAAAAGCCACTCAGGAAAGTGGAAATCCTCTGAAATAGGCCAACTATATTCACATAATAAAAATTAAGGAAAACAGGTAATAATAAAATAATATAAATTTCAAAAGGATACATTAGTTTAGATATGAGATTTACACACTCAAGCATCCCAATATGCCAATAGATATTACTAGATGTTTTCAAATGAAAACCACTCATCACACAGGACCCATCTTTCACAATGTATTGTATAAACGACTCTAACAATGAATACGGTCGATGCTGCTTTGTTATATTTAATTCTTGTGAACGTCTTAAAATCGAGAGGCGTTGTAAGCTGCTTTCCCTTGAAAACAATAAAATTAGGTAATAAAAGACCCTTAAATTATAAATTATGTTAAACTTACAAGAAATTCGGTGGTAGTGAAGAAAGAATTTCGCACTCACATATCCACATGACAACGTGATATGCTTGCATAAGAACTACAGCTTTTGGAGCAGCATTTGATCTTATCCAACTGAAGGTTTGAGAATCAAACAGTTCAGAGCGACATAAAATAATCTGTTGTAGAATAAGAAGATTTCTGCAAAGAGAATATCTTATTAGATTTATCTGTGAAACAGTTTTTGATATAACTGAAACTCCCAATTGACTCTTGAAATAATAGTCAACATTAGATAGAGTACGAGGACATTCATCATCCTTTTTGTGCATATTTGATTTTCTATTTTGTAGTGAATCATATGTCAATAGCCTAATAAGAATACCAGTTGCATTAGCAAGGTCTTGAATATTATCTATTATCTGAAAGATTTCTGATTGAAAATCTAAACCTGGAATCTTGAAAATAATGACTTATAGAATTTATCGTTTCTTTTTTAAAACTATCTGACTCCACATTTATCATAAACAGATAATTTGATTTCAAATAACACAATATTTAAAGCAACTAACACATAAGATAATTACTTTTATGTAAAGTAAAAGTTTTAGATCATTATATGCTACCTTTTATTTTTGTTATTTACAAAAAACAATTATTCAGCCATTATACAACAGATATATACCTACATAAATTATAGTACTGAAAGCTGGTGTTTGCAAAGCACGATAACATAACAATAAAATTCAAAGTATTCATATCACAGACATTAAATTTTTGCGTCCATATGTGAGAGTGCCACTACTAACAAAGGTAAGTATACAGAGAAGCACGCAGTGCAAATTAATTTAAAATATATTAAAAAACTGCAGAACTGGGTACAGCATAACATTTCAAATAAGAATAAACAAAGAAATTTTTTTTTATCTAAAAGAATATTCAAATAGCAACGCAAGCGACAAAAGGGGATTGTTTCGGTGAATTTTCAATGAAAAAAAAAAAAAAAAAAGAACTAGTTTCTAAAGAGATTTGAGCCCTCGACCTCTTGCACACTGGCCAAAGCCCATACCCACTTTAGTTAAAATCTATGCACGAGTGGAAAAGAGAGAAAAGTTGGTATTAATNAATATGAGGGAGTAATAAAAAATAAATATTTGTAAGTAGCTTGATAAATAACAAAATTCAGAACATCCCGTATTATTTCATGAACTGAGTCATTTGATCATATTATGAAAAAAGTCTTAAAAAAATTAGGGTTATGTCCTTACATTAACTTACTTATTGATACTTATTTGGAATCTCAGTAAATAATTGTTTAAACAATTTTTTACATTTTTTAATACTTTTCTATTTACAAAAAAAAGATTTTCGTTACTGTATAATTACAACAATCGATTTTTATTGCTTTTTTTTTTCACGAAATTTAGAGAGGTGGACGGAGCGCAAATATATGCAGCTACGCTGAAAATTATTTTTCTTATATGGATCAGCTGACGTTCACGCTTCTACGCATACTTGACCCCTTTTTTCGTGTGTTATTATACAACAAAAAAAAAAAAATATGGATCTATTTGAAAATCAAACAGGTTTATCAAAAAGTAATCTTTCATACAAAAAAAAGTTGGGGGGTTCATACAGATCTTATAAATGTAATTTTTAGTGATTTTTAAATAATGTTACATGTTAAATTGTCTACTTTTTGAATTAAACATGTGAAAGCGGGTACAGTTGAATAATCTGCAATTTTTTTTGGGTATTTCTTATGGTATTTTGAGTATACTTTTGATGCTTCAATAATATCTGTCAAAAAAGACTATTTATGATGAACTTCCTGAAGGGACATTGTTTATATTGTATTGTACCATAATATAGTGTTTATAATGTTTTAGTTCATGTTATAGTTAGGTATATTTATATTTATAATTATACTGTCTGCCATATAATTTTGTAGAAGTATAACTTTTTACTTGGGTACTCAAGCACCCACTGTCCACTGGTTTTAAATAATTTTATGGGATTTATTGTACTTTTCGAAATTAAGTGAATTCAAAACGAAATTTACTCAAATTCCATCATGGTTTTAGAATTATGGATTGTCCTAACCAGAGTGTGCGAAAATTTCATTTTTATGTATTTTGAAGGATTTTCCGTGTCTAGATTATTTTATTAATTGATACAAATAGCTTTTTCCTCTCTACATCATTATGATCTATAATGGAATGGTTGTATTAAATGACATTTGGGTAAAACAAAAGACATGTACATAGATATTATGTATCGTAAAAAAGTAGTAATTTTATAAGTACTCATAAACTTTAAAAATTAAGGACTGCATCGATAAATATCACAATGTAGGTGAACCAAGTGGCGAATCAGATAATAAAAGACATTAGTCAGATAGATCATCAACTTGCAGGCTGGGCTGATCAACATCGAGATACCTAAGCATGCAGACATGATCTCGTGGATAACGTGTAGTAGGCTTAGTAGACGTTTTGTAGTACCAAGAGGTAAACGAAGTGAAATTAATTACAAATCCTTACTATGGTCTGATGCTTAATTTTATTAAAACGTGAAAAACCGTACTTACCATGAGTGTTTGTACTATAAATGGGCTTTAAGGATTCCGCTTTTTTAACAATAAAACTTCTGTATTTTAGCATCGTTATATTATTAGTTGACATTAAAAATATACATTGTTAGTAAAGTCTGACTTTTATTTTTCCTAGCACGCAGAATTAAGATGTTTTTTTCGAATTAAAGCTGCATCACAGGTCAAAAATCATAAACGTTGGTATTGTCTAATAAATGCAAGCAAAAATTATTTGGATTACAAGTATTTAAGAAAAAAGTGGATGTTGCTGTTTATTAAATATTTTAAAGGTGATGTTAAAACAGAAAAATGAAGTGGAATTGCAACTTTTCTACCAACCACAGCCTTCAACGGTAAGACTATTTGTGACAAAGTTGCATGACGCCTGAGCAAACATATTTTTCTTATTTTAAATGAAACATACAGCTGAATACGTTTTCTCCATCCAGTTTCTTTGTAAGTATTTTGACGCTATCCTAGTCATTATTAACTTGATATTAAATCCAACCCCATCAATAAGTTACGTTCAGATGTTGAGAAAATTTTAAATAGACTAAATGACGTGAGTTACGTGATTGCATTATAATATTGGAAAGATATTTATTGACCAAAAAATTTCGTTGACGCTTGGTCGTTAAAAAGGGAGGTTATGTTGACAAAATTGTTGTATGAACATGAATTGTAGAAATTTTTCATTTGATGCCTTAAAGACGTTATAATCTCATAATGTATTCACGTTACATAGTTTGATTATAAATAGAGTGTCTATTTCCTTGTTTAAAAGAAATTATATTTGTATTCAGTTAACATCAGTTTGAATGAAATCACCTGCCGTAGGTGTGGCTTATAGGCTTAAGATTTTAAGACACCCATGTACAGGCACCCTTAAGGTTGCGGAAAAGCCTTAGATGAGCTATAGAAGGTATAATAGATACTATCAATAATAACCATAACCTTTGGATAACGCTCGCAGTGATAATTTCAATATAATGTTTTCCATAATTAAAAAAAATTTCTCACGATTTCACAATGTTTTCGGGAAATACAATTTTCAATTCCTACCAAAAATGGAAGAAATCTTGAGCAGCATTAACAAGTTGGGTAATAACTCTACTCCAGTAAATCAGAATAGTAATGCCGTTTAGATAAGAATTATTCGGCAGAATACATCGGAAAGACAAAAAATAATTTAAGAACATAATCTCTGAACACAAAAAGAGAACTGATTTAGATTTCATATTATCGAAACATATGTGCGGAAATTATTATGAGTTCAACTAGGATAACGTCAAAATACTTGACAAAGAAACTAATTGATATCAATATGTCTGATAATAGCATTAACAAAAAAGGAAGACATAAAATATTTTCAAAAATTCATCATTCTGTCCTTTTTAATTTAAATAGAATTTTCTCTTTTTCCTGATTTGTCATTTACGTATTCACATAACTTATATTTATAGTGAATACTAAACATTTGATGTTATCTCTTTCTCTCTCTCTCTTACAATATATTTAGTTAATCAGCTTCTGCATTTTTATGTCGCTATCACAACTTTGCATTTTATTGTAATTAATAAATATTAGCTAAGTAGTTACTTGACTGTAAACTAAGTATATCACTTGTTGGTGTGACTAAAATATATTTTATTAAATAATCTTAATCAGATAGAAACTCATCAGGTTGTAAATGCGTACATCATTATGCTTGGCAACTTTAGCCAAATGAGGCTTGGAAGATCCGTACGAATCGTTGCAGACAAATATGGACATACTGCCATCAACATCGTCTATATTTTAATTAAACTCAGTCTATTATTACCCTACTTAAACACACTTTGCTAGCAGAGATCTTTGAAGCAGATTTTTTTTACCAGTTTCTCCATACCAGGCATTTTCAAGGTGGTAGATTGGGAATTGCTTATCAAAATTGTGAATTACCAGGCAATTTAAACATTTACTTTTTAGTGCATTATTTCCATCAGCCTATTCTGACGGGCACTCTACTCCAGTTATGGGTTGATACGCCTGTTACTATGTCGTCCCCATTGTCCGCTTGCAGTATGCGCACAGTTGCGGGATGCAGCCGATGCGGAATTACGAGGCGAAATACTCAACCTCGACCGGGCCTGTGTTGCATTAATACCCTCGGTGACACTCCCTGCAAAATTTATAAGCGGATCTCATCCATCGAGACACCGCTGGGGCCAAGTATCACGACGACCTTGGTTGTTGTCGCCTTTTGCGACGATTACAAATATGACACAGGGGAACGCGGGACACACTTAAAGTAAACACTCACGACTGGTACTTTATAATAAAAGTAATAGATTCAATATAACAGTTAAAATACAACAATTTCATCGGGGGTAAGTGTGTGCGTGAGTGCGTACGTCTGTGCTAGTATGCGGGCTAACACGGGCCGCTGCCCTTTACAAATAAATGGTCAACAAGGGACCGGTACTCACAGTGTCACGAATGTCGCTCCTCAACGATGCTTCTGATAGGCCAAGATTACTAGGAGCAACGGAGCAGGTACGCTGAGGTCAGTAGGCGTCCCTACTGGTAGCGTTCGAAGGCTGAGGTCGTCGGTGATGGCCTTGGTGACCCTGAGTCTGCCGTCGCCTGCTATCCCAGCAGGACCAGGAAATCTCAGCACCAAGCACTGCACCAGGGACAACTCAAGCGCAGCCGCAACAACAACAATCGCAGAAAAAAATGCTTCACGCGGAAAAGTACTTAACGCTTGCAAGAAGGCCCAAGCTAATCTGCCCCCTCCACTTTTCCTATTTTCTCTCTTTCCCTATCTGTCCTAGCCTACAAATGATGGCTCAACGGTATCTCACCATTACAACACACATTCAC